ACAGGATGTCCTTCATCATTTTAGCCCAGCATGTCATGTTGCCTCCAGAATATAAAACCCAAGACGGTCTGCTTTCCAGGGTCACTCAGCTGTGGTGCAAGTGGGGCACACACAAATGAGTCTCTATTCTCCAGGGGCAGCTTTCCTGAGTCTTGGGAGATGGCTCACAATGAATCCTATGCTTCTGTTGTTCCTTGTTGCCTAGCTATAAATAATAAATTCACTTCATGTAACTTGTACATGTGGGTGTTCTGTCTTACCAGACTCAGCTGGTAACCAGTGCATAGCAAGCCTGCTTTGCACCCTTTTCCAGAGTGACTGCACCATGTTACATTCCCATCAGCAGTGTACAAATGTATGTAAGCAGTTTAAATGCTTAACCAACAGTTCTTCAGAATAACTAAACAAGCATGATGGTGCCTTTTACTTATTAATTCCCAGTGATTAATTAGTCTCCTTCTGATAAAAAACATTCCAAAACCTTCAGCTCAAATTGCTCTATGGTTTGGGAAGATATCTACGGAAGAAACTCACTGCAAAGAAGTTAGGTCAAGAAAGTCCTAAGAAAAGTGTATAAAGCTAAACATTTATTCTAAAGACAATAAAGAGTAGGAAAGATGACCAACATACATTTATCCAACATACCAGGCATTTTTCAGTCTTTATCTCATTTATTCCTTCCAATCATCCTGTAAACTGGATAGTATGTCCATTTTATAAATATTACAATTGCCAGGTTTTGTGACCCATGTCTGTAATCCCAGCACTTTGGAGGCCAAGGCAGAAATATTGCTTGAGCTCAGGAGATCAAGACCAGTGTGGGCAACATAGTGAGAACTCATCTCTATTAAAAATTTAAAAAATCATGTCCAGGCATGATGGTTCACACCTGTAATATAGCACTTTGGAAGGCCAAGGCGAGTGGATCACCTGAGGTCAGGAGTTTGAGACTCGCCCGGTCAAAATGGTGAAACCCCATCTCTACTAAAAACACAAAAAGTAGCTGGGTGTGGCAGTGCTCGCCTGTAATCCCAGCTACTCAGGAAGCTGAAGCAGGAGAATTGCTTGAACCCAGGAGACAGAGGTTGCAGTGAGCCGAGATCAAGACATTTCACTCCAGCCTGGGTGACAGATGAGACTCTGTCTCAAAAAAAATAAAAAAATAAAAAAATAAACATTAGCCAGGTGTGGTGGCACATGCCTGCTCTCCCAGCTACTCGAGGGGCTGAGGTGGGAGGATCACTTGAGGCCAGGAGATCAAGGCTGCAATGAGCCATGATCACATCACTGCCCTCTAGCCTCGGTGACAGGGCCAGACTCTATCTCCAAAAAAAGAAAAGAAAAGAAATGTAAGAAATATTACAATTGAGGCTTCACATAACTTTTCATACAGGTCACGGAGTTACTAGGTGGCGAAGTGAGAATGAGAGGCCCATACTTCTAGTTTCTGCTGCCTTTAGCTCAGGGCAAAGAAACGTAGAAGGCAATTAACACATTTGTTGGAAAAAAAAAAAAAAGGAATAAATAAATGAGTTAACGTCAGCACTGCTATTTATGTGTCCCTGGGCAGGAAAATTAATTTGAGTCTATTTCTTCATTTCTTTCTTTTTGTTTGTTTGTTTTTAGACAGAGACTCCCTCTGTCGCCCAGGCTGGAGTGCAGTAGCGTGATCTTGGCTCATTGCAATATTCGCCTCTTAGATTCAGGTGATTCTCCTGCCTCAGCCTCCCGAGTAGCTGGGACTACAGGCACGTGCCACCACGTCCAGCTAGTTTTTTGTGTGTATTTTTAGTAGAGATGGGGTTTCACTGTGTTAGCCAGGATGATCTCAATCTCCTGACCTCGTGATTCACCCACCTCAGCCTCCCAAAGTGCTGGGGTTATAGGTATGAGCCACTGCGCCCCGCCTATGTCTTCATTTCTTATAGCAAGATAATAATGACATCTAGTTCACAGAGCTAGGGAACAAATAGGGTGACAAATTGGGAAAACAATTTGAAAAATGTTAAATAATAAATGTTAGCATAATATTTAAAAAGTACAGTCACAGTCATAAACAAATATTGATAAAATAAAGGCATGAGACATGGGGATGGGGTGTGTGAAGATTACTTAATATCTCTGATTCCCCGGTTTCCTCACCTGTAAGGTCACAATTGAGTTTAAAGTTGAGCACCTTCATGACACAGACTCTAAGACTCACCAAGTTAGGAGACAGTCAAGCAAGCCTCTGCACATGGCATTAATTTGAAAATGTTTATTCTACTTCCAAGGATATTGCAAAGTATGTAACTGATTATTTTTCTCCATGACATTTTGGTCTTTATCAATTAGGTCATTCAGACCTCTATCAACACATGTAATGAATTACAACATGTATAACTTGTGTGCATGTGTATATGAGAACAGTATTAGAAACAGTTATTACTATGAGAGTTTATACATAACTTCTAAACACTCATCTTAGAAAAATAGACATTAGATAGAAAATCTGGAATTGATATAGGAACGGGCAAGGAATTGGTATATTGTGTCTGGAGAGGAACATAGTTGGCTAGGGACAGGGTAAAAAAAATTATTCACATTTGGCCTGGCATGGTGGCTCATACCTGTAATCCCAGGACTTTGGGAGGCCAAGGCAGGTGGATTACCCGAGTTCAGGGAGACTAGCCTGGGCAATATGGTGAAACTGTGTCTCTACTTTAGTATTTTTAAATACAAAAATTAGCCAGGTGTGGTGGCACATGCCTTGTAATCCCTGCTACTTGGGATGCTGGGGCAGGAGAATCCCTTGAGCTTGGGAGGTGGGGAGTTTGCAGTGAGCTGAGATCGTGCCACTGCACTCCAGCCTGGACAACAGAGCATTACTGTCTCCAATTCACATTTGTAATCCTTTGCACTTTCTTTCTGAATTTTGAAACATTTGTTACTGCATAACCATTAATAGACTCACATTTTAGAAAACTTTTATAAAGATGTTACGTTAACATAAAAAATAGTATTTTTAAGCATTACTTTTATTTCAACTATTAATTTAAATTATGAAAATATGAAGCCACTCCATTTTCAATGTGATTGTATAAGTTTTTAACAGACTTTGTGGTCACTGGGTATATTTAACCCTTCAAATAAAGCCATCCTTCCCTTTTATGATTATTTTGTAAGACTCATATGCTGGGTGGTAGATCAAACTGAACAGAGTAAGTTATTTCTTAAGAGCAATTTTGTTATTTCCCAAGAGCCACCCTTAGACGCTGGTAGGTGTCATTGTCTTCCCAAGACCAAGTGCTGGATAGAAGGTTCTTGTATTTCCCTCATCTGCCGCCATCCTGAGTAAGGGAGGAATTAGGACTTCTGCAAGCCTCTAAAGACTGGAAAGATGGGAACCGGCGCAGTGGCTCATGCCTGTAATCCAACCACTTTGTGAGGCCGAGGTGGGTGGACCACCTGAGGCCAGGAGTTCGAGACTGGCCAAGCCAACATGATGAAACCCCGTCTCTACTAAAAATACAAAAACTAGCCGGGCGTGGTGGCGCGCACTTGTAACCCCAGCTACTCAGGAGGCTGAGGCAGGACAATCGCTTGAACCAGGGAGGCAGAGGTTGCAGTGGGCGGAGGTGGCACCACTGCACTCCAGCCTGGCGGACAGAGAGGGGCGGGCGGGGGAAGAGGAAGACTGGAAAGATGATGGTGCCCACTCCCCACCCCCTTAAGTAATTAAAAATAGATATTCATTTAGGAAGCGAATTAAAACTTAAATTAGGGTGGATACAAGACGTTCCTTCTAGACTTAAATAAAAATTCCGAATAAATTCATCAAAGCTGAACTTTTCCTTTTTGCCTTTCACCCCTTTGCTAGTGCATGGGCCTGCGTTCGGCCTCCAGCTCCACAATCCGGCACTCGCAGGGTCTTAAGTCCTACCCACACCTCGGAGCACAGGTGCCGGGTGTAACAGCCCCACCCCACCAACCGGCTCCTCCCAGGGCCCTGTCCCCGCCCCTGGAAGCGTCATCGTGACGTCAGCGCGCTGTCCTCGAAGCCTGCAGCAAATGAGCGCAGACAGCACCGGCCCTCCGCGTACCACGGCACACGCATGCGCGCTGGCTCTGGGAACCCTGAAGACCTGGCGGAGCCGGGCGCGGATGGAGGCCTGAGGGTGGCGGGGGCGGAGCGCGCAGCGAGCTGGGGGCATGTCCGCGGCGGGCGCCGTCTAGAGGAAGGCCAAGCTGCCGCCACCACGCTGTCGGTCGCAGCGAGACGCAAGCGAGCCAGGCCGAGGGCCGCGGCGGCGATGCAGCGACGGCGGCGCCCTCCGCCGCCCGCCTCCCGGCTGCCCGAGGGCAGCGGGGGAGGCGGCGGTGGGAGCGAGGAGGTGGAAGTGCAGTTTTCCGCCGGGCGTTGGGGCTCTGCCGCGGCGGTTTCGGCGGCGGCGGCCACGCGCAGCACCGAGGAGGAGGAGGAGAGGCTTGAGCGGGAGCACTTCTGGAAGATCATTAATGCCTTCCGCTACTACGGGTAAGGAGCCCGTGGCGGACCCCGGCCCAGACCGTCAGGGCGCCCACTGGCGGCGGTGGACCCGCCGGAACGGGGGCGCTTGGCGTCCCGCCGCCACGCCTCCAAGGCGTCGGGATCCGGCCCCTGCTGCTGACCTCCGGGCCCCGAGTCACCTCGCACCATCCCAGCCCCTCCCGGCCTTACACACCCGCGTGTCCTCCGCGCCGTCTGCTGCTGAGCCTCGTGTCTTCTGACCTCAGGATCAGATTAGCTCTCCTGCCTCCGTCCTCGTAAAGGTTTGGCTTTGAGGCCGGTGGGGGTGACCGGAGAAGCGCTGTAACAATTTCAGATAGAAGACGATGGTGGTAGAATCGTCCACTGCTGGGCATGGTTGGTGTGTGTGGTCGATGTCCTCCAAACTGAACACACGGAGAGCCCAAGTTCACCTACTCGTGGGATGCTGTAGGACGTATTTTCCCAAACTGTTACCAGTGCTTGTAAGAGCAGTTTAAGATTTCCACCCACCCCCTCTTTGGCGCTGTGAAGGCACTTGCACATTTGTGTGAGCGACTGACTGATGCCGCTCAGTGTCTTTAACTGGTGGGTGATTAAGGGCGGAAGTCGTCCGGATATTCTAAAATTTGCTAATTATTAGGAGAGAAATGAGAGAAGTCACAATAAGAGCTGCCTTTATGTTCTTTTTGTCTGCAAATCTGTGTCGAATTCTCCCTGGTGTGCTAGACACTGTTGTAGGACCTTGAAGTTTGCTCCTCATTCATAAAAGCAACTTCCACGTTTCTTCTAGATAGATGTTAAAGTAGCTTAATCACAAAATTATAATTCCAAGATCTGAAAGGGACTTAAATCAACGATTTTCAGGTGAAGATAACACTTTTATTCACGTAAGAGTTATGAGAGTCCACCGGTGACTATGTTCTAAGTCTGCAATTGGAAGACAGACATGACCTCCTACGCAGGTAAACCTGTTCCTTAGGTGGGTTCCTGCAGTGCTTTATGCAAACTTTTTTTTTTTATATTGTTCATCTCATGTGCTATAGTTGTTTAAATCTCTTGCTTTACTGTGACCTCCTCAAGGACAGGGACTGAGTCTTATTTTTATGTCACCAGTGCTTGGCATATGTTGTTTAAGCTCTGTTTTAACAAACAAAACAAATAGCAGCAAAGAAATACATTTCTGATTCCCAAATAGTCTGTTAAGTTTTTGACTAATAGTTAAATTACTTTACTAGTCTGAATTTAGAAGCTTACTTAATGGAAGCTTAGAGTTTTTTGGAATCTGATTGTATTTGTGATGGGAACTTTTGAACTTCCGGTATCTTGATGAAATAATTTACTGATTAAACCGAGAAATAGGGACCAGAGACAGCATTTGTTATGGAGCCCAAAAGAGAATTAGTAGTTTGGATATTTTATTTCTCCAGCTTTAGTAGTAACAGAGGGAGCAAGGCAGACCATCAGAGAATTGAATTTCATGCAGGAATTATGACTGAAAGAACCAGTTAGGGAAGGCAACTAACATCAAAAAGCTAAGAGTGGGAGATACAGAAAAGTCTGGTACATTTTGCTCTTGAAAAATCTAGAAAGAATATTGAGAAATGTCTTGGGAATATAGTGGACCCATTAAGTTAAGTGTGTAGATGTACTTTTTTTTTTTTTT